CAGGTACTGGAGCAATAGGTGATTGCTTATCTGGAGTAGAAGCACCTGCATCTGGCAAAGACAAGTCAAGAAAAGGAACAGGAAGAACATGATCAACCTGTGACAATGGAGATGGGATAGAATTAAAGGGTTGTTGATCAAGAAAGGTGACATCAGCGGAAACTAAGTAACGCTTGAGATCAGGAGAGTAACAGCGATAACCCTTTTGAAGACGAGAATAACCCAGAAAAATGCATTTAAAGGCTTTGGATGTTAACTTATCCTTACCAGGAGTGAGATCATGAACAAAACAGGTACAACCAAAAACATGTGGGGATAGAGGAAAGAGAGGAACATCCGGAAACAATAAGTTATGAGGAATATCATTATTAAGCACAGATGAAGGCATGCGGTTGATGAGAAAGCAAGAAGCAAGGATTGCATCAGCCCAGAAGTGAAGAGGAACATGCATGTGAATAAGAAGAGTCCTGGCAATCTCAATGAGATGTCTATTCTTACGTTCAGCTACTCCATTTTGTTGTGGAGTGTGAGGACAAGTGATTTGGTGTAAAGTACCCTGTGTGGCTAAGAAATGAGAAAAGTCAACAGAAACATATTCCTTAGCATTATCACTACGTAAAATACGAATAGAAGCACCAAATTGAGTATGAATTTCAACAGAAAACCTTTGATAAATAGAAAACAACTCAGAACGGTTTTTCATTAAATAAATCCAAGTACAACGGGAGAAATCATCAATAAAGGTAACAAAATACCGAAACCCTAAAACAGACACACTTCGACTAGGACCCCAAACATCTGAATGAATAATTGAAAAAGGAGCATCAGCTCGCTTATTGACACGATTAGCAAAGGAGGAGCGGATGTGTTTTCCTTGCTGACATGACTGACAATCTAAAGTTTGAAGACCGGATAAAAGAAGAACCATCTTCTGCAATTTCGCAAGACTAGGATGCCCAAGACGACTGTGGATGAGTTGTGGAGATTCTGTGAGAGAACAAGCAACTGAAGGACTCGACACATCAAGGTAGAACAGACCCCGTGACTCACGGCCCACTCCAATCATTTTCCCCGTACCCGGGTCCTGCACAGAAACAGATTGGTTTGAGAATGTGACAATACAATTAAGAGAATTGATCAATTTACTAACAGATATTAAGTTATAAGGGATGTGAGGAATGTAATAGACAGATGTCAAGGTCAATGAGGAGGTTGGACAGATTTGTCCAATCCCATGAACGGGGGCCTTAGTTCCATCAGCAAGAGTAAAAGAGGGTAAATTTTCAGAATATGTAAGGGAAGAAAAGAGTTCCTTATTACCACAGAGGTGATCAGTAGCACCTGAGTCAAATATCCAAGGACCAAGTGATGCAGAATGAGAAACACAAGCAACAGGATTACCAGTTTCTGAAGCGGAGGCCTGAGATTGAGGAGAGGACTTCCTGAGAAGGGCCTGGAATGCTACATATTCTTCAGAGGAGAGAGAGACTGTACCATTTGAAGCAGTATCCGATTGAGCTATATTAGCAGCAAAAGAAGGTCGCATGTGAGGATACTTTGTGTAGCAGCGTTCCTCATAATGACCAAGTTGCTGACAGTAATGACAACGAGGTCGCTGACCACGTCCGACTGGACCTCCTGGGCCTCCTGGGCCACGGCCTCCTGGGCCACGGCCTTCTGGGCTTCTACCACGACCACGTCCACCTCTAATATTCCCGCGAAAATCAGTACGGGAAACTAGAGCAGTAGAATCAACAGCAGAAGACAATGCAGGAGTAGATTTCTTATTCAAATTCAGAAGACGCCGATACGTCATGGATAGATCAGGCTCCCCACTAGTCAAGATAGTATCACGGACATTATCATATTCTTCGGGAAGGCCAGAAAGTGTGGCAACCATAAAGAGACGTTCCACCTGTTTCCGATATGCAGTAGCATCAGTAGGGTAAGGCAGCATATCCAAATATGCCTGCATCAAAGAGCGACTCTTGCCAATATATGTCTCCATCTGAATGTCGGATGATTTGCTCAATTCCATAAACTGGGAGATGATGAAATAGAGTTGCTGAACATCATTAGTGTAGAGGTTTTTTGCTTCCTCCCATACTTCAGTGCAAGTTTGAAAGGAATAAAAGATATCCAAGACGATCGGATCAATGGATTGCCAGAGGATACTCAGAAGCTGGTTGTCAATCTTTTCCCAATCAGACTTGTCCTCCTTAGGGACATCAGTAGACTTAGTCGTGAGATGGTTCCCATATCCTTGTCCAAAGAACCAAACTCGAACAGAGGTGGCCCAGTTCTTGTAATTAACAGATCCCTTCAATTTTGAAGAGGTAATGGACCCAATATTGGTAGAGATGATATTGGGAGAATTTCTCACAGGAGGAGATGGAGACTTGACCTCCGAATGAATTGGAGGGTTTGCTGCCATAGTATTAAATCACAAAGATATAAACCAAATAAAGAGAAACGAACCTGATCACCAATCAAGAAGAGGTGCGCACAAAAAGTCAGACCCACAAAGAACCAACCACAGATCCAGAAAGAGGAGGAGAAGACGAGCTTCTCTGTCCAAGACCGGCGGAAAAAGCTGCCGGAATAGTGCTCACGCGCCGGCAGAAGGTGGCGCGTGAAGCCCACGCGCAGAGAAGACTGGAGGCGCGTGAGAGCGCGTGACAACTCCGATGGTGGCCGGACTTCCACAGAGCAGGTCGCCGGGAGGAGAGGGTGCTGTTCGCGTTCGTTCCAGACTGAAAACTCGCCGGAAAAGTACTTCGGCAGCCTGAACAGTGGCTGACGGTGGCTGATGGTGGCTCCGGTGACTCTTTGGGGATGTGGACACGTGCAGAAGATGCCTGAAGAGGACTTACAGTCCTTGATGTCTTGCCGGAAGGACGCACGGCAAAGAAAAGATGACTCCTAAGCAGTGGGCTTAGGTTTTAAAGCGAAGAACAAGATTTCTAAGCGGAAGCGAGGGTTCCTAGAACGAAATAGCTCTGATACCAAGTTAAATGTAAAAGAATACGTTATGTATTGATCTGTGTCAGGGAGTTACAATATATAGAGACCCTAATGGGCTTAAGTGTAAGGCCCAAACCTAATCCTAATACAGTCAGAATATTTACGTATAAGACAGAATCCAATCATATCTAATCATATCTAATCGTATCATATCTAATATTCTAACAATACCAATTGAATGCAAAACCTCTAAGCCTTTTTTCTGCCTCTCTCATCTTTTCTTCTTATTGAATTTTCTTGGTCTGGAAATATTGCTCAAGGTAAATTAGCCATCCCCAGGCATCATTTTCTTCTCCATAGAATAAAGGAATCTTCATTCTCCGAAATGGATTCTCCACCACCAGACCTCTCTAGGTTTCCCTTTTTGGCTGTGAAACTTGCATTCTATCTCGCCTTCTGTCCGTTCGTTTATTGTAAGCGTGATTCTTGGTCTTCTCAAGAAGTTCATCAAGGAGACTGAGTATCTCCATATGATTTTCTTCAACTTGCCTTTCTTTTTTCTTCCAATTTGTTTTCCAGTTGTCTCTCTTCTTTCCTCCAATCTTCAGATCTGTTTTCCATTCTTTCTCTTTTCTTTTATTTATTTATTTATTCTTTTTTTGATTGGTGTGGTTCAAAGCTACCCGGATCGGATAGCTTTGATACCAATTGATAAGAACCGGATCAAATAATAGTAAAACAGAGACAAACAACAGTATTTTTGCCCAAAAAAGGATCTGGATCTTCTATATATTTGAACAAGAAAGGAAATTACAGAATTCAAATACATTAACAGTAAAATACTCAAAGCAGAAAAGCTAAATTTCAGTACATTCGAGAGGTATTGACTCTCCCAATTTCAAGTCCAATATTTACCAAGTTGCCTTTACACACTACATGTTTCCCCTCTTATTCTTAGCCTAACCTCCTAGAATATTCTAAAGTTAGTTATGTCACCTCATTGGTAGAACATAATTCCCTACATGCACCTACATGAGTATATTCTTATCAGAGTCCTTGTAAAAGAGACTTGAATGTTTGGTGACGTTGATTAAGGATAATCAGCAGTGGGCAGAAACTCAAGAGTCACCCTCCAAAAGATAGAAGACCTCCTTGAAAACCAGAGAGGCAACCTTCAAACTCTTCAGGAGGAAGCCAAATGAGAGAAGAGACAAGACTGGAAAGACAAGAAGAAAGATCGAGAAAACTAGAAATCTTTCTGTTCTTAGGAGATGAAGCGTATGGATTTGAGAGATATTTTGAACTCAAAGGAGTTGCTGATGAGGAGAGACTTCAAGTTGCCATGGTGGCTTCGGAAGGAAGAGCCCTATCATGGTATCAATGGTGGGAGCTTGAAGCAACAAACCCATCATTGGGGAATTTTCGAGAGGCTGTAATCCGCAAGTTCCAGCCCTCTATGATGCAAAATCCATACGAAATTCTTCTTTGGGCTTAGACAAGCAACAACTGTAGAGGATTACAGGGAGCAATTTGAGTTGTATGCATGGCCCTTAAGGTGTTCAGACCCAGAATATTTAAAAGGGATATTCTTGAATGGATTGAAGGAGGAAATTCAGGCTGAGACTTCCTTACCTGAAATGATGGATTATGCTCAACGAATAGACGGAAAGAATAGGGTGCTCCATAAAGGAAGTCAACAAACAGGGATTAAAGGGGGAAGTACTTCCCTAAATTTTTTGTCAGCAAGAACAGCTACTTATGAGAGTGAGTCAAGATCCACTAATCAAAACAGCAGTGCTAGGGGAGTTTCAGTGAGACACAATAACCAAAACAAAAATGTTGGAGGCGATTCAGTAATTGACTCTAATACCAGTAGAGTTAACCAGAAGTCGAACATGAGGGTTTATGTTTATGACTTTTTGTACGAGTGATAGGTTGATCAAATTATTGTTCATAAACATTTATGGTGAAACTTATATGTACCATATCAAAAGCGTTCAAACTTTGTACAGATATACTAACTTTACCAAAGGTACCTGGTGCCACCCAAGATTTAGAAGAATTGCCAGGCAACGGTGCCAGCCAGAGAATATTTCGCAGGTTCATCGAATCATCATATGTCACATTGGACCCTGAAATAAGAGCAGAGGATTCAAAAGACCACATACCTTTTTAAAAGTTGAGTATCAAAAGAAAAGACAATTAAGCATTTATACATAGGGGTGGTAACTGGTAAACGAACCAGGGGCCTTTGGCCCGACTCGTGGAGACTTTGGCTTATATGTCTAAAATTGGTTGTTGGAACCAGGCTTAGACTTATATAAAAGCTCGTTTAATAAAAAGGCCTCAGGCTCCAATTCAAAAGCCCGACCTTAGAGCCTCTCAGGCTGGCCTAGTATACTAACTTTTATTTTTACTTTATATTTTTTATACTACTTATAATAGTGTTCTCTCCCTTCAACTCATTTCACTCGTTTTATTGGTTAAACAGACTTTTTGAATGATTTTGTTCTATATTATGTTGTTTGGATATATATTGAATTTATGAATCCTTGTGGAATTATTAGTGTTGTTGATCGTATATTCTGTTTGAATAAATTTTTGTTGTCTTATTTTTTTTTAACAGGCTAAACCAGGCTTTTATTTTTTGTAAATAAGACAGGCCACAGGCAGATAATTGTATTCATAAAAGGTAACATGCTAGGTCAGGCTGACACATTTAAATACAGGCTTAGTCTTTTAAGACCAAAGTCCGGCTCGGCTCGGCCTGATAACACCCCTATTTATACATCTGTCATTTGCAAGGAGCTCTTAGACTTATCAACATAAATGTTCTCTCATCTCTCCCCATCTCAAGTCCTCTCCCTCACACACAAAAACTCTGAAGCACTCTCACAAGATCTAGAGATTATAATACTACAGAATATCCAAACACAAGACTAACAACAAAGTGGAAGATTAACAGAGAAGAATGTAACTTGAACTATACATATCATTTATAATTATGGTGTGGTGATAGTAATATACCTCCCTGACAAAAACCCAAATTGTAAGGGAACACTTGTTTATCATATGCTGGATATTCCTTTGCATGGAATCTGCCAAATGAGAAATTGTTGCATTGTTAACTCTAAAAAACTATAAACAGTCTTAAAAAGTGAATAATATCGAATAGAAGGGGTTAATCCACGTTTGGACCAAAAAGAATGCGAAAGAGGACATCCAGAGAAAGGTATCAGAATCAACATACAATATACCAAGCCTTCCAGAATCTACGGCTAGAAATAGATGACCATGGAACAGATCAAACCGGTTCAAGGCAACATCCAACCCAACAGATGGACCCCGATCAACAATGAGTTCAAACAAAAATTGTAGATACAAGTTCAGTTCCTGAAATTTGAGACGGAAATGCAACATTAGCATCTCTCTCTCTCTCTCTCTTTCTCTCTTTCTCTCTCTAAGCGAGGTATTGTAGAACAAACCTCACAAATGAAACGTCTGCCATAAGGAGTTCTGGTGAGTTGACAGCGTTCTTGATTTGATCCTTCGACATCAGGTACCTATGCTATCACAACACCACACCACACCACACCACACCATCAGATAATAGTGAAAGCATTGGTAAAGACAAGAGCAAAAGAAACTGACCGGGATGATGGTTGGATCGAGAACGCGATGAATAGCAGCGGGGTCACCACCGGAATCGACGGCTAGGCGAGCCAGCTCCAAAACCGGCTCTGGCGGCAACCAAATCAGCTCGTTCTCCTCTCTCCGAGTTGGGCCCGTCCAGCCCAATTTCCGGTGACGAGGCTCCACTGGAGAAAAAGGAACGAGGAATTTGAGGCATGATTTGAGCTCACGCGCTACGTCAGGATTGACGGCTAAGGACTGAGGTTTGGAACCAAGCAGAGACAACAAGTCAGAGGGAGTGGCTTTGGGAATAGATGAAGATGGAGAATAACGCTTCGAAAAGAATGGTATTGGTGGCAACGATGACGACGCCGTAAGAGATAATGAGAGGAATAACGCTAACCGGAAGGAGAATGAGGGATGGTTCATTTGCACTGACCCAGTAACAGTAACACCTCACACCCACGCGGTCCATGCACACATGACTGACATGCCTACTTATTTTTTCAAATTAAGATGATTTTAAAGTTATGGTTGAATAATGGAACTGGCACAGTTGCACATGACATGACATGACATAAGTCGCATATCAAGTCAAAAATTACAGGGAATTTAACATGACATGCTCATTCCTTCAATTGGCCAATCTAAGGCTTCTATTAAAAATAACCAGGCCCTGTCCGTCAATGAAGATTAACCCAATAATACTTGGAACGCCTCAACTTCAAAACAAATAAATAAATTTGAAATGAAATAGTTACGATTCAAATCATGAAATTTAATAACTTACAGACCAAAAGAACTATAAATAAATTAGATTCATAAAACTATGTAATTTTAAACGAGTTTTAAACACGCAAAAAAGAATTCATAAATGAAATAAATTCTTTCGGTTTAGATATTTTAAACACAGAAAATAAATTATACATTTTCCATGTCAAAACACAAACTAACTAAGTTGAACGTGGAGCAGCAAGTGACTTGTAAAGTTAAACTTTTAATTCATCTCTCGTCGAATGAGATAAAAACAGAGATTACAAAATTTGCATGTACAATATTAGATTGTGCAATAGGAAACGTAAATCAGTAGGTAAAGTGCGGGTAGGCAATCATTGACTAATTAATGAGAACCAATTACTTTATGACCACATGGATGAACAATCACTGTCTGCTTTTTCTTTTTCTTTTTTTGTCATTGTAAATAAAAATTCCATCAACTCCTCTGCCTTCTGGGCACTTCTGCATATAATAGCTATTGTTCACTTTTCTGTGAGCTCTGGAACTTTTCTAGGACCCCTTAAAAAAAAATTAAAAAAAAGAGCCTCCTATCCATGGTAACAGGGCCCCAAGCACGTGCCCTGCAAAGCAGCATCATGAAACTTCAGATAGATCATACAAAAAAAGGAGTAATCACTTTGCCCTAAACATTCTAAAAAAAAACTAATAACATGCCAGAGCGAACCATAAAAGGGGAGTGGATCCTCTCATGTGGAAAAGTAGTCATGTGGTCATGTTATTTGATCACAACCACTCATTTAAAAATTATACACTTTTCTCTTTCTTATCTCATCATCAATGAGTGGTTATGATCAATAACATGACCACATGACCACTTTTTCACATGAGAGGATCCACTCCCCCGTAAAAGAGAGAATCATTACCAAGTAGACAAGGATATCAAGTTGTGGATTTGATGTTCAAGACAAAGTCTATACAGAAGATACGCATCACACTATAGTTGCATTGTTCAGTAGGTGTCAAAACGGGTTATCTTAAATTCGCCAGGCCATTTATAACAGCAGGGTTCAAAGAAATTCAACAGAGTTAGCTTTAAACGAATTAGTTCCTATTTGAATCATAAATTGCTAAACTATTCTCCCCATATCCCTCTCTTATATACAATTTAAACAAAGATTTACTAAGATAAACCAAACAATATTTATTGAACTACTTCAAAAATAATTTAGACAAAATAAATATAATATTTTGAAACTAGTTCACATTTATATAGATTTACGTTTTAATATAAACAATTCAAAACTGGTTTTCTATTTTTCCAAACACCGCCTTATATGATGCAATCTCCTACAGAGGAGCTTAGCAGCTTTAACGAGGAACACATCATCTACTTAGTTCTAGCTATCAAATCTCATGCGGCAAGTCCCTTTGCACCCCACCCCCAAAGCAGTGGCAGCTTCCCCGCAAATAAGTGAAAAAAGATTAGATATTTTGCAGTAACAACATGAGAGAGGAAGACATGATTTCACTTACATTGACAAGATATGTATCCACAAAAGAGGAACTAAAAACCATCTACAACTTTAATACCAGCACCCTTGTCCCACTCCTCTGGAGGAGCAACATCAGCCATAACCTTCTCTTGGCCACGCCAAAGAATCTGGGAACAGTGGGTTCCAACATTGGTTTGGTCAGCAATGCATGTTCGAGAGCATAGACTGAAGAAGACAACCTACTGACAAACGTAAATAACCACTTACTTTATCAATGACTCCAAATTCCTTAGCCATTGTTGTATCCATATAATTTGGTCTCTTCATCACGTTAGCAACTATTTCCTCTGACTAGTAATTTAGAAAAGAAGCAAACAACAAAAACATTATATTCTGCCTCATATTCCCTAAATAAATATGGCAGCCAGTACATAAGCATGATACTCACATTTCCCGTATGTTTGGCCAGTAGTTTAACCAGAGTGTCCCTGTTTATTATCACCTGCAAAGAAGAAGAGGAGAAACAAAGGTTTCAAAGATGTGATTGGACATTTTTTCGACTAAATATAAGAACATGAAGAAGAGATGATAGGAGGGAGGAAAAGAAAGATGTTAAGGATCACATTTAACATCTAATTATCCAATAGAAACTAGACCTGAAAAGAAAATGAATAATTGCCCCAAAATGTATTGAGAGAATCTGTACCTAAGGAATTTGTCAGCAAACCCCCCATTATGAAGGTATACAGTAGAAAGAATAAGAGAGCAAGGAAATAGAATCCCAGGAGGAAATTAATTGTAATCTGTCATGTAGACAGTTAACCCAGTTTGAAATTAATTGTAATAACTGCCTATTAGATAGTTATCTGGGCACATGGAGGGCAATAACAGGGAGAAGAAGGAAAATCAGTGGAGACAGTTATCATTTTGGAAAACCAAGTAAGTTAGGGGAGAGTTCCTGGTCTCCAGAACACCTGGGTATCCGTATACCTTCTGTAATTCTCATTTCCTATCTCAGATCTGATATCTCTTTGATACAGATTAAGGATTAAGGGATTATTTCAATAAAACTTGTATAACTTTTCCTATATTCTGAACCAGTTCTATTAACTGGCATAGAGCACCCAAATATTGAGGGAGTTGTTGCTGGTTCATGCTGCGCACGAGAATGGAAGCCAGATTCAACTATTTGGGGAAAGGTCTGAAGCATGGAGACTAAAATGGAAGTAGAGAGAAAGAGAGAGAGAGCGCTCCAAGAATCGTGTAGGGCCCTACAAGAAGCACAGCTCAAGAAGATCAAAGAACTCTTGGAGAGGATCACGCGAGCTAAGGGGTAGGTCTAGTGGAAGGAGCCTGCTCTATTACTTCAGGAAACGAAGATGGAGAAGGTTGGAGATTCCCCTAATCTTGGCAATTATGCCTATGGCTGGGTTAATAGATTGGAGAGGTATTTCCAAATAAAAGGGGTAACAGGCTGTGATGGTGGCTATGGAGGGGAGGGCACTGAGTTGGTTACTGCTCAAAAACCCTGTCTTCACCCTCAAAGCCAACAAACCTAGGCTTCAAGAGATCCCCAAATCCCCAATATTCACTCAATTCATGCCTACCTCACTCCCCACAATCCCCCTCCTTTTATCCTATCCCCTAAGAATATTCTAGAAGAATTCCATAACTAACTAACCCACTCACCACTTTCAGCCCATTAGTATACACTATCAGACCTGATGAACAATACCCAGATGACTGATGAGAAGAACCAAGTGCTGGCCAGAGGAGGGGTGAATCCAGTAGGCAAGAGTGGATTCTGATACAGAAAACTTTCATCCACCAAAAACAGTGTCTGCAGAAACAGGGCCCAGAACAAATTCGCAGGGGATATCTTCAGCAGGTGTATCAAATATGGGGTCTACCACAAGCAGAACAAATGGCACCAACGGTCCATTTAGGAGTAGAGGAGTTGGATTCAAAAGGTTATCAAATGCCAAGTTGCAAAAAAGAGTGAAGATGGGGTTATGTTTCAGGTCATGTGGTAAGAGGAAGAGGTAGAGGAAGAAGTTAGGACTGGAGCAGGAGGAGAGCAGCTAAAGGAAAATAAAATATCATTGATTAAATTCCATCAAGAGTTTGCATTTAAAATAGCATGGAAGAATTACATGCCAATTGCAAGACAACAATAGCATGGGTTAAAATGAAAACACCACCAAAGTTTGTCATTCCTAATGATGAAAAAACACAAGGTAGCAAAAACAAATTTGACTAACCTCCTGTGCACGACTAAGAACATCACTCGCAGGCATTAACCCAGATGATGGAATACGAGGCTGCTGAATCATGGCTGAAAGAGTAATCAATAGAAAAGTATCACATCTGTAAAGAATTAAAGGACCAAAACCACAAACTTAAAAACCACAACGTCAACAGACTCAACACTGTACCTTTGGGCTTTGGCATGTGGCATCATAAATCGTTTACCCTGAGTCCCTGCAGAAAGCAGCAAACAGGCTAGAGTCTAGACCTATAGCAGCTCCAACAGCCACTGTGTGTACCTGGTCAGTACGCAAAAGTCAAATACAAGGGAAACGATATATTCAAATGTTAGTGAAGATAAAAACACACAGCTGAGCAAAGATGAAAGATTACACATGATTCTTAGAAGAGAAAAAAAAACCTATTGCCGATCAGAATTGTTTAAGAATAAGTTACACAGATTAAGTTACAAATATAAATGCCAGGTCGATAAAACTTGTGAAATAAATGCATGCAATTACAAACAGAAGGTACTGCCATCATGCTACCAGTAGCAGGAATCGTGCATACAACAACCCAACAGTTGATGCCATAATGTCACAATCACCATAGTAACATCATTCTTGACGTTTTCCAGAAACCCAAAGCAGCCAACCATAAAAGTCAACAAGACATACAAGTATATAATCATTTTAAGTGCATTATTAATGAAAAGAAACAGACCTCATTTTTTAACTGCAGCATTGCATCATAAATGGCAAAACCTTCTGTCTCCATCCCTACCTGAATGCAAGAACTCAAAATGCATGAGAAGGCAAGAAAGGAGGGAAGCAAACAGGCTGCTCAATAGATTATCTTAAACTAAAGATACCTAAACTACACAAAGAACATGTCCATAGTACATCAAACATTTCATACAAAACATCAAGCAGGAAGCCAATTACCGTTTCA